GTTCAGGCTGACGTAGAACTAACTGGCCTGCAGAAGATAACGGAAAAAACACAGATTTGAAGACACAGATTCTTTGTCCAAAATGTGAACATTCTGGTCCTCCAAAGAATGTCCTTTGTCCATCAGGTGTAGATGTAGCGCAGAGTCTTGTCCAGAGGAGGGCGCTCTTCTTGTGTTGGGCCGTGCGTCTGTGGAGAGGTTGTTTCGTTTCTCCAATACATAATATTTGATTTATATTACAGAATCAATTACATAACAGTTTGGGTTATCAGTTCATGGTCTAGATGTTTTTTGGAGATATTATTTTTGAAAAAATAAACCTTTTAGATTAAAAACTTGTAGCTATAACCTTTAATGGGGAATCTGTCATCAGCAGGTCCATCCTGGATGCATATATTTGGAAGGAGAAACTTCCAGTTATGAGGGAAACGCAGGAACCATCGGGATGAGAGGGGATGGGCAACATGGAAAACCAAAATGAAATCCTAATAAATCCACCAACCTGCTCAGCGCTTTATAACAGATGTTAAAGGCCATCAGGAGGATCACTGATGAGGTGGAAATAATGATGAAGAGGATCGGGAACGCTGGGAATTCAATTCCCCCATCCGAAACATCAGGCGGCCGAACTGCAGCATCACAGAGAGATGAAGAAGAAGAGGAGGAGGATGAAGGTAGGGATAAGAACCAGGATTAAACAGCTGGGAGACATTTTCTGCTCCTCAAACTAATTAAAGTGTCAGATTATTAAAAAAAGCCTCCAGCAGCCGCCCACACCTGGAGTTAAAACCCTGCTGAGGTCAAAGGTCAGACAGGAAGCTGAGACACAAAGCCGTCCTCAAGATGTTCTGTGCTATTCTGATTAGTACCGGTAGCCATCAGGAGTCGGCGCTGATCCGTTCCGACCAATGAAAGAAACAACAGCAGAACTTTTTACCTGCCAGGTCTCTGGGAGGGCGAGGAGGAGGAGGAGGAGGAAGAGGAGGAGGAGGCAACAGGAGGAAAGGACCACACCTGTATGTTGTCTCCATGGCAACGTGTGGACACCCCCCCCAGCTGATCTGCAAATGCAAAAGATTAAAAAAATACAGAACCAGTTGAATCCCATCTCCCCCAGTTTGTCTCCCAGGCAGGTGTACCTGGAAGCCTGCAGACAAATTGCAGGGAAAAGTTCTCAGGATCTTTTCCAGTTTTTTATTTTCTCAGATGGTTTGAGCGTTTCCAGGTGTGAATCGTTTCAGAATGAAGGAGGTCTCACCTGAGCGAGACGGCTGAAGATCAGGAGGGAAACTCCCAGCATCAGCATCCTAAGAACCCGGTTCTACCCGCAGCTTGGATCAGAACCACGGTCCACAGCCTCCCATCTGAGCCACAGATATGAGGAGGCTGGAGGAGAGAGAAGTCAGCTGGGGAGGGCGGGGAATTCATGGGCAGGATGGGATGCTGCGGACCAATCAGAGAGGATCTCTGGGTTATCTAACTCCACCTCCTGCCTTCTCATTGGTCAAACACCAAGTTTAAAATGTTAGCTTTGGTTTGGTCTCTGACATCAGAGATAATGATGTAGGGATGGAGGAGGAGATGATGATGGTCTGACCAGGATCATCATCATCATCATCATCATCATCATCATCATCATCATCATCATCAGATGTTTACCAGTAATCCAGCAGGAGGCCATAATGAGCTCCAGACGGTGATCAGTTTTTTTTATTTCTCACCTCCTTTTTATTTCCATGCTGGACTCCAGATGTTCCTCACATCTTGTGGAACGTTTCTCCTCCAAGGCTCTACGGTGTTTCTGGAGAATCTTTTAACACCCAGGTAAA